GCCTGGCCGGCGGCACCCCCGGGCGGGGGAGCAGGGTGGCGGGGGGAAACACCGTTATTTCAAGTCACGAAGAAGCCACAGACATTCGTGGGGCGGGAGCGCCACGTGCCCGGGGGAGCCCCGAGTCTCGCGCCTCGCCAACCCCGCTGAGCAATCCTTGCTGTCTTTGCTTTTCAAAAAAAACAACAACCAAAAAAGGCATTTTTCTGGAGGTCACCAGCAAAGGGGGAGCAGGGTGGCGGGGGGAAACACCGTTATTTCAAGTCACGAAGAAGCCACAGACATTCGTGGGGCGGGAGCGCCACGTGCCCGGGGGAGCCCCGAGTCTCGCGCCTCGCCAACCCCGCTGAGCAATCCTTGCTGTCTTTGCTTTTCAAAAAAAACAACAACCAAAAAAGGCATTTTTCTGGAGGTCACCAGCAAAGTGGGGAATCGGCTGGGCGGGGGTGGGCAAAGACGCTCGGCTCTGCCTGCATGGCTCTGCCTGCATGGCTCTGCCTGCATGGCCCTGCCCGCACTCCCTCGCTGCCTCCCGGCAAAGGCATCCACAGGGCAGGATCGCCGGCATCGCCGCTGCCAAAACCCCAAGAGCCCGTGGTCCCGCTCCACGGCAGCCAAAGTCGGGGCTGGGGGTTTCCCCGCTCCGCTCGCCGCCGGCTCGGCCCCCCCAACACCAGGGCTTCAGTCTGTACAAGAAAAAAAAGTTAATATAGTGCAAAGCAAAGGGAGGGAGGGACCGAGGCTCCCCCGGGGCCGCTCGGCCTCGCTCAGTGGTGTGGGAGCCACAGCCTGGTTCCATCCCAGTGCGGGGAGCGGCTTGAAGAGCGGCCGAGCAGGGCCCAGCCAGGGCACCGTCCCGCCAGAGGGAGGAGGACGGACACCAAAGCGGATCAGCAGGCTGGGGTGAAGGTGCACGGTGGGCTCCCACCACCTCCCAAACTGGTCCAGAGCTGGTCCCTGCGTCTGGGTGCGTTCCCACCGTCGTCCTGCCCGCAGCCAGGCTTTGCTGTCACGGTGCAACCTGCACCTGGAGCAAGAAACGCAGCCGGGGGTCCTGCTGCGGCCCCCCCGGCTCCCCCCGCTGCCGAGCGGCTCCCTGCCGTCGCCCGCCCGCGGCAGGGCTGGCTGCGGGGCAGGGCACAGACCCCCGACAAGTGAGTGCAATGAAGGGTGAGCCCACCCCGTGGGGTGCAGCCCCCCCACAGCCGGAGGCACCGCAGCAGCAGCCGGGCAGGGGCGTCCATCAGGCAGGGGGTCGCAGCGTGCCGCTTGGTGCCACGTCCCGCGTCGCCGCTTGGCACCTCTCTTCCAGCAACGGTCCTTTCCCTCCTCCAGGATAAAGGATCTGGAGGGACAGCATGTCCCCACACACCCACGGACCCCCCCTCGCCCCTTCCCACCCCCTGGAGCTGCATCACGAGCTGGAGCCGACGAAGGACCCCGGGAGAGCGGGGACACACTGGGGCTTTACAATCAGCGGTCGGGTCCGTGGGGGCGTCGGGGGGCAGCGGGGCGGGGGTCAGGGCTGGGCGCTGCCCCCGGGGCTGGCGACGGGGCGACAGCCCATCCTGCGGATGTGGGCTGTGCTGGCTGGGCAGGGGCTGCCTTGCTGCGAGCCCCCCCACCCGTGGGGGGCCCCGGGGGGCACCCCCACCTCCCCCCCCCCCCCGCCCCGGGGGGGTGGGCCAGGGGGGGGCGGGCGGGGGGGGGCTGCCGCACCGCCGGGTTGCAGGGGGCACCCTCCTCGGCGCCGGCACCCGCTGTTGCGCCGTCGGGCTCGGCCACCAGCAGGTCCGTGGCCCCGCCAGGGTTGGAGAGCTCGGGGCCGGGCACCATGTCTTCCATTTCGGAGACCCAGGCTGAGGTGGGGCTGCCTAAGCTGCAAGCCTGGGACTTCATCACCTTCTCCAGGATGGTGTCCAGGTCGGGCTGGCAGGGCACGAAGTCCGTCTGGATGGCCCGCTCCTGCATGCAGCTGGCCTGCACCCCGGCCTCCACGCCGCCCCGCAGCCCCAGCAGCTTCTCATAGGTAGAGCTGGGGGGCAGGCGGGCGCCGGGCTCGCCTCCCCCCTCCAGCGGGTCCGTATGGCCGGGAGCCTCCTCCGCCCCCACGAAGCCACTGTCGGCCCCCTCGTCCAGCGAGATGGTCTGTGAGCCCCCCACGTTGCGGTCCCCGGCCCCCTGGTCGCTCAGCTTGGTGTAGGTGGAGCTGCGGGTGAGGGAACGAGCCGGGGACCCCCCAGCCGACTCGCCAGCCCCGTCCTCCTTCAGCGCCCCGTTCTGCGCCACCTCCATGCTGTGCAGCAGCGTCTCCAGCTTCTTGTTCTGGATGTTGATGTCCACAAAATACTTCTGGAGCCCCTTGTCCTTCTCCAGCAGGTTGTTCTTCACCGTGTCGATGACCTGCTTCAGCTGCTTGATCTCCTTGCGGGCCTCCTTCAGCGCCAGCTGGGCCTCCACGCGGTGGCACTCCTCCTCGATCCAGTCCTCCTGCATCCGCGACAGCTGCGTCTTCAGGTCCTCGATCTCAGCATCCCTGCGAGAGACGGGGAGGCCACGGCCGTGGTGCTGAGGGGGCTGTGGAGCCAGCCCTGTCCTCGTGTGCCTGGCACTGAGTTGGAGCCAGATCACCCAGTAACACCTGCGGCTGGGACCCACGGATGGATCCAGGGGCTCGGGAACCCTCGGGGCGATGCTCAGGGACCCTCGGGAGCGATGCTCAGCCCCTTCCTGGAGGGGATGCAGAGCCCAGGACTCCATGGGGACGGGCAGGTGCCCTGGCCGGGCGCATGGCAGCTGGCATGCCAGCGAGGACGTGCCTAAGCCCGAGCGGAGCAGATGGGGATTAGCCACTCTCTGACGCTGAAATTCAGAAAAAGCGTGGCAGAGACTTAACTGGGGGCACAGGGGAGAGCGCAGCCACTGCAGGTGGGATGTACGGGCTCCGCGGCCCCCCAGTCCACGGCTCCCCGGTTGGACGGGCAGCAATGCCAGATGCCCGTGTGCCTGCAACGCCATGAACCTGCTGCCTGGGCACAAGCCCGAGGACAAGATGCGGCGGCGGGAGCCAAGAACCCCCCAGAAGGACCAGTGCCCTATGGGAGCTGCCACCGCCGGCAGTGGGGGCTGGGGGCGG